CTATAAAGCTTGGGTTATACTTAAATGTGACGTGAGACAGCAGGCCATAAATGATCATAATCCCTCAGCTCATATAGGAATAAAAACAGCAATAATGATGGCCGGATATTGTGTTTTTATTTCACTCAACGATCAGTGTTTTTTGTGTGGTTAAGAGTCAACAGAGGAAAATCTTTTTTTTGTAAGGGAGGTGATGGAAAAAAGACGTAAACAGCTGCATGCTCACATTCAATAGGATCAAACCAGCTGCTCTTCTAGCTCCTGTAACAACAGGCATCAGACAAAAAAAATTTCAACAAAATAACACGAAGAGCTGCTCTGAGTCCTGCTCGAGTGCTGATTTGCTCCTCACGAACAAACACTCCCACGAGGTTTGAACCAATCACGCGCTCCGAGCCGCAAGGCCTGCATCGCAGAGTTCTGACTGAGGGTAATGTACACGACTGCTGTCAGACAGAAGGTGTGCAATTTTTTGTCACAACAACGGGGAACAAGGGTAAAAACCCACTTTTTTACTCAAGCTTTTAGCTAATCACTCACCATTAATTGCAGCCTAACCCTTTAGTGCCTGCTCGCCAACCATGTGTTTGTGTATTATTGAATATACGGCATAACCCTCCCCCCCATTTTTTAAATTCCAGGTCCATTTTTCTTATTCTGATTTGTACAGTCTTGCATAACACATCTCTTGTCGTGCTCTACCTCCAACCTGTTTCTGAGTTAGAATTTAAAATTTATTTTCTTGTTTTGATGTTTTATGTTTTATTATGTCTTTCTGCCATTATACATTGTTGATGATTGTGCAGTACATTGTGAATATATTTCTATGAAAGGCGCTTTATAAATAGAACTTTACCATACTTTACTTACTTATTTACTAGGGGGTGCAACAATACATGTACCTTTATCGAACTGTTCAATACAGTGCTTTAGGTTCAATCCACACTTGTATCGAACAAAACAGATTTCTTAAATTTATTTTATCAKCTTGTCTTCTGAAGATGCTCTGTKTTGAAGGATCAGTGGATCTGTGTTCGACTACTCCATCAAGGCTGCATTTTCGAGTGCAGGTCCACTGAGAAAATTGATGTTTCAGCAACATTTAATTTAAAAACTGTACTTTTGAAGTTAAACAAATGTTCATAATTAATTTAAATAAATTACAAGTTAAAAAGGGCATGGACATTTCTCTTTTTTTGTATCGAAAAAATATTGAACCGTGAGACCAAAGTATTGAACCGAACCGAATCGTGAATTTTCTGTATCGTTGCAGCCCTATTATTTACTTAACAAGACGTGCGACTCAAAGTATAAAACAAGTTAATACTTTGGGGGAAAGGTTGGACTGAGGCCCATTACACCTGTCTGATCACTGAGTTTTGAGTGAATAGGACCTGGAAATTTTACCTTTAGTTTTCCCTCCTCTTGGATCAGAAACATGTGAAAACAGTTGATCATTGCAGGTAAAAGGAGTCTGAACGTTTAGACCGGTTCTCAGGTTCTCCTGAAGCCACAGCTTCATGTGGAAATGTGACCACAGCAGTTCCCACCAGTATCCTGATCAAAATGTTGAGTATTTTCCACCACATCTAACCTAATCAGAGCTCTGCTGCAGAAAAGCATCACGGGAGTCGTTCAGGCATGACGGTGACATGCTCAGTCACCACAGCCCTCATGAATAAAGAGCTTGTCTGAAGGAGGTCCTGTAGTTCTATTAAAAGAAAAAACATCACAAAATGAGTTTTAGCAAAAATGATCTGAAGACTGAAATGTTGAAYCTGACAGCCTTTCAGGGACATACAGATCATTTGTTTCACCAGATTTATAATTACTGTCATTTAGTTCTGCCAGCATAATGAAAAGAAGAGATAAAAACTTGTTGTATCTGTGTGAGTTTGGGGACCATGACCCCCTCACCAGGTTAGGGCTCTTAAGTTTATCTCAAGGATTGGAAGGTGTTCAAGCAACAACTTTACTTTCAAAACTGTCACAAAGTCTCCACCTCACCTCCAACCTGCCTCCTCTGACAGAAAGCATTCAAACCAAAGTTCAGGGCTAAAACCAGGTCGATGATAGATATCAATAATCTAAAACCAAGTGTTTATCGTGTGTTCCAGCAGATTAAATCAGAAATGTGGGGGTGGCTGCAGAGGTGAAGCACAAAGTGAGCGGAGGTGGGGATGATGTGGGCGGAGGTGGACAACAAAATKCACGACCCACAGTCCTCCAAACGCCTCATGCAAAAATAAGCCAAAAAAGCYGTTAAAAAACTGACCGCTCAACACCTGCTGCACAGTTTCACATCTTTTCTCACAATTCTGAAGGATTTGTCTTTGACCGACTCGTTTCCACACAGCTGCAGCTCAGTGAGACGCCACCTTTAGGGATAAATGTGTCTGCTGGTGCGAACGACTGCGTGCTGGTTCTTACCGGGGTAGAAGTCTTTGGATTTGGACAGCTTAATGGTGGCACCCGTCTCCTTCTGGAGCTGGACGATGGTCTGGCCACCCTTGCCAATTATAGAGCCGGCTGCATAGCTGGGGATCAGCACCTTCAGGAAGTACTCGCCCTCCTCTGGGGGAGAAACACACAGAGGTGGGAGAGGGCCGACGTCAGGAAGAGCATACACACCTACAGGTGACCCCCCACCCCCCCCAGTGACCTCAGCACACACACACACACACAGAACATAAAACCCTCCCAGCTCACTGAGGGCGGCGACAAGAAGAGGAACGGTGTCTGCGTTTGGAGTGTTTCGGGTTTTCTCAGAGACCCGTGGCATGTCCTGAGTCCTGTCCCAGATTTCATGTGGAGTAAATGATGACCTCCTTTCCAGTTTGCAGAGATCTAATTTTAACCAGTTTCAAGGATTTCTGGAATAAACTGCCAGCCAGGCTGGTGTAAGTAATCCATCTGTACAAACATGTGCAGTGAAGTAACACGAGTAAAGAGACTTCATTTGAATATAAAAACTGTATCCTGAGACAGGAAGTTACACAAACACATGAACTCCTAATCCAAGCAGCTCATGAACAAGAACCCAGAATTATCTGCTGTAATTAAGAGACGAGCAGAGAACATATGGGAACCAATCCTGTGGATTTGTTCAGGGGGTACACTGCTCAAATGGTCTAAATCTCCTCCATTTTGAAATGGGCTTGCGTGATTTAAAGTGGCTTTCAGCAGCCGGTGACTGACGGCGTGTCTGCAGGGAGATTTTATAGCTGGAAGAYTTCTTTCTCCAACAATCCCAATTAGGAGTCAATCAGCACCAAAGAATCCTTCAGAAACCCACACGGTCCGATCACACTGAGTGTAATCAACAATCAACCCCACACAGAGATTAGACCAAAACCTCATTAAATAACCTGCCAGCACTGACTCAAATCTACAGATCCAGGTGTGCGCTGACTGGGGATGAATCCCAAAGATCCCGTCTTGGTAAACACTTGGCTCTGGAGCAAACGGAAGCACCGATACAAATCACCTCCTCCGCAAACTGATCTGGATGCAATGACGTCATTTTCCATCCTGCCCAGCTGCCTGAAGGGTGACGTCAGCGGAGCGGCAGCGATGTGACAAAGCATCGTCCACCTTCCTGACACACGTCTTATATCTTATCTCGGGCGGGGGGCACGAGACGGTCCGAGACCCCCCAGCTGCAGGGTCTGTCAGCACGTTTAAACAGGACACTGGAGGCTGGCGTGCACCAGCACTGAGACCAACCTGTTGCCTCAGTAATGCACCCATTAGGATCAGACGTGAACGAACATGACAGTGTGACATACCACGATTTCACATTTCATCAGAGCCCCAGCCTGGTTCACACGCGCCACACAGAACCAATGGTTCTGACAAATATTCATTAACTCAAAGCCGCGATTGTTGATGCACTTTCACGTTTCATCTGGAATAATTAGACAGTGTTGGTGAGCTAATCTAAAAGCACACATCCATCATCGAAAGCTTGTAAAGATGTCAGATCGTGGATGATGTCAGCTTTTCAGAATAATGACAAAAAGGGTCTTTTAAAAATATTTTTTATTCTGATTATTTCTTGATGTGGTCATCGCTGATAGATTTCAGGAGATGTTTGAATTCTGTGCGTTGTTGCAGTCAGCTCCCTGCCTTTCTCAWAAAATGACCTTGATGGGAAAAAGAAAAGAAAAACGCGTTGTTTTTGCGTTGCCGTAAATCTTAAGCCCTCGCTCATATTGTGAGGCATCTGACACAGAACGAATGCAAATAAATTAATTTGACTGCTGCTCATTAGAAGATCCCAACATCCAAAGACCTGTTGTTGACAGACAGGCTCTGAACCACTGCGTAACTTTCAGCCACACTAAACCCAGCAGGAGAGGAAGCCGCTGAGATTCCCTCCGTCACCCTCACAGCCACSTTTGCTGTCATTAGTCAATAATTAATTCTGTCCTAGTGTCTGAGATCACAGTAACAGGTTTTAATGGCATCATGTGGTAGAGTAAACATGGCAATCTGTCGCCAGGGAGCAGGGGCGGTGGGGCACACTGGGAAGCTGAGCCAGGAGGGTGTTAGTTCAAACCCTGGAAGGATGGCTTGGAGGAGAGACGTGGTCCCTGAGCCAAATGGGTTTAGTTAAGTCACTCAAGGGGGGTGGGTCAGGAGGAACTGCCTTGTGACCATCCTCCCCTCCTTCTCACAAACCCTCCAAGTATCCATTGTGCATTTCAATGGGCTAACCTGCGCCTGACGTGGAGCAAGGGCGATGGAACAAAAAACGAGCCAAAACGAARGAATGAGCTGGCAGGTGTATAAAAGTCCCCCCAGTCCTGCATGATGGATCAATTCAACAAGTCCGACTAAAAGAGTTTGATGCTTACCCATTCTGAGATCTGCTGCTGCTCAAGTCCTCTGTCAGATCGCCATCAATGCCGGGGCACAATCTCTGAAGTGGATCTCAGCATTAGCCGAGGCATAGGTGCGACCGTAGTGTTGAGGAATGCGGCCAGTCGAGCTTTTTCACTGAGGTCTGATTCATGAGTGGGTGCAGAGAAAAGGGTTTCAGCACAGCATCTGAGCCATGCCTGCAGCTGGCCACTGCCTCAATTGTCTGAGAAAATGCTAATGCAGGCTCTGAGTGTTTTCAGTGAAAGACGGCACGCATTGTTCAAGCCTGCATCGGTTTGAGGAGGGGGGGTCTTCCCTGCCGCATCACCCTTTTCACTGCTCTCATCCATATTCATCGAGTGGCCTGTCCGTCTGCAGCAGCGGGCAGGACTGACGCCTCGCTCGCCCAATGGCCGGCCTCCTCTCCGCGGCACGTCATGTCACCGCCCCCCCGATGCCGGTCCCCAAAAAATTGAATTTTTCCCCACTACTCCGCCTCTTTTGACGCAGCACTATAAAATATGGCGGTGGGCTCGGCGACTGTTTTCAGAGAAAAGTAACAAAGGTGAAGCGTGTGAGCGAGCGGACGGAGCGCCGCCTGAACAAGGAAGAAGAATGACCTTCAGCGCCGGTCGAAGAGCTGCATAGAGAACGAGGAGGAGGAGGAGTGATCTGAGACAGTACGCCTTACGCCACCCACCCTTCGATTCCCCCACCCCAGTCCCACGGACGGCCATGTTTGAGAGGGCGGAGGGGCTCATCAACCATTGCAAATGGCAGTGCCGCAGAATGGTGGAGGGGGTGATGAAGCCAATCACTACGTCTATAAATCTTACACCGAGAGGTATCTTAAGTGACCAAGCGTGTGTAAAACCTGCTTTGTGTTTGTGTTCAAGTACCAGTGAGTGAACATGGAGGGGTGGGGGTCTGGCTTCATTTATTAGTCCTTTCCAGGGAACCTGAACAAAATGAACTCTTTTCCTTTTGGATACTGATTACTTTCATCCACACATTAAAGCCGAACACTGTGACCAATTCCCCGCGAATGCTTCCAGAAAATTCGACCGTCTCACTCACAAAGAAGCTCTTGACACAATCACAGCTTCCCTGTGGATTCAGCTCTCTCTCAGGATCTAACCAGCTCCTATTTTCTCTTTGCTTTGCTCTGTCTTCGTTTCTTTCTCTCCCTYCTATTCTCTGTTTCACTGCCACCTGGCAAATTCACAGTCCACTCACGTCACATCCCTCTGCAAGGGCACCTGTGTCCTTCCCACCAAAAAAATTAAAATAAATATATAAATAAACAAAAACAGCTCACATTCCTGTGCCAGCCTTTCCATTAGCAACATAACAAGATCATATGTAGCCCCCCCACCCCCCCTCCCCACAGCCACAACCTTTTGGTAGGTGTGTGCCTGCCAGCAACACGAGCTCAGAGGACAGTTAAATGAAAGATGCTCATTTTAAGAAGAGCAGCGCTGAAAGGATGGGAGTAATTTCTGTGTCCTGAACCACATGGAGGGGCTGAGCTCTGATAGAGCCCAGGCTTTCTT